GAGAGAGAGAGAGAGAGAGAGAGAGAGAGAAATATATATATATGGGGAAGGAGAGGAGAGGTAAAGACTGGGGAAGGGAGAAAGGGCGAGCGGTGGCAGCAATGACAACACCACATATGACAACAAAAGTGGAATAGAGGAAATGAAAGAGAAAGGATACTTTGGATAGTTTTTGAATTAATGGATATTTTTTGAGGAAAACTAATATGGGATAGTGTTTGGGAAATACCCAAAATATAAGTGTTTTCTATAAAAATCGATATATATATATACATATATATACATACATATATATATATATATATAATCTTAGTAAGTTAACTATCATTATCTAAAATACTAACAAACTAGTATTATTTTATTTTTTTTCATAAAAGAAAAAGTGTAAGAAAAAAACCTCTAATTTTATCTTTTTTTCCCGCAACACCTTGTTTTTATCTTTTTTTTTTGGTAAAAAACCCATATTTGGGCAATCCATTGTCTTTTCTTCTCCTTCATTCCTTTTGAAAGCCATTATATTGAACCAACTCATTCTATTGAACCACCAATTATTTCAATTAATCAATATATTTAATTTAATTAGTTTAACTAGCCCAAAACTTAAGTAAATCTAATATAAATGATATTTTTATATTAATAGAATATAAATATAAGTTAATATTAAATTTATAAATATAAATATTCTAAAATATATAAATTATGATTAAAAAAACATAAGGGTACAATTACAAGCTTTAAGTACTGAAATAAAAATATATATATATATATTTTGAAGGTATAATATATATATATATATATATATATTATTTATATCAATTCCAAGATATCTAAATTTTTAAGAATTTTTAAAAAACATGAGATACACTAGATAGGACCCATAAGTACTATAACTCAATCTAAAACAATGTAACTTGGATCTTTATATATTATTTTCTTAAAATCTCAGAAAATATTAGTAAATAATATTCAAGTTGTTTGTGAATTAGTAAAATTAAAAAATAACATAATTTAAAACTTTTAAGTGTTGAAATAAATAAAAAATACGTGTTTAAAGCTTTAAAAATATACATTTAGAACGTTTAATGAAAGTTTTAGATTAAAAAAAACCTTGTAATTTAACCTTAAATTTAATAAAAATACAAAATAGCCTATTGAGAGTTTAATTAACGCAAGATAGATGTTTTAAAGGGCCAAAAATACGAAAATTGGTTAACTAGGGCTTCATTAAATATATCCCATGCTTGAAAGAAATTTTACCTTTTCTGGATAAAAATGAATATGCTTTACATTTATAATATCATATTCCTAGTTTCACACATACCTAACATATTAATTAAAAATAAAATATCACCTTTTAGTTTATTATTGTCATAAAAAATAATATAGTAAAAAAAGATAAATTTGAAACATATTAACATACTAAATAAATTAACATGATTTGCCTTATACACAATGATTTTTAATATTTGTACATAATTGTAAATACATAATCAAAAGAATAACATATATGCATATTATGTTCAAAATTTATACACCCAAAAATGTTCATACGTCATAGTCTATATTTACATTAGCATTGAGCTCACACTAGTTCACCTTCTTACCCATCATTTAAATGGGGTACTAGTGTCCTTATATGTAAAATATGATATATATATATATATATATATATAAAATAAGTGATGACTTGGTAAATATAAGTCTATGCAACTTTAATTAAGTATATATTTAATGCTAAACTCATCTTGATATATGATATATATAATAACACATATGTAAGAAATCATGCATATAACATATTTAATGCTAAACTCATCTTTTTTTTTTTAAGTAAAAGTAAATTGATTATGTGTAAAGTTTCTACAAATAGCTTT